ATACATACATACATACATACATACATACATACATACATACATACATACATACATACATACATACATACATACATACATACATACATACATACATACATACATACATACATACATACATACATATACACGTACATACAACATGCGCGCACACACACACTTACACACACACGCGTACCTGAGCAAGTAGTCTGCTGCGAAGATCTGCACCGTCACGGCTTCAATAATGATGAAGGCCTTGTGCGCCGCGGGACCCCGTTCCTTGGAGTATTGCGGAACGGTGTCCAAACAGAAACACACGGTAGACAGAATGATGACCACCACGATCTGTATGTACACTCAACCAACCCCAGGTGTTGGTGTTGGTGTGTGGTGGTGGTGGTGTGTTTAGCGGTAGCGGTGGGGGTGGGGGTAGCGGTGGGGGTGGGGGTGGGGGTTACATGTCAGGAGTAAATATCGGGATATGTATGGAAGTTTTAGTGTATAGGAAAGAACAGCCGGGGACGCGAGGGCAAGGGGGGAATACGTTCGGAAGAGGGAAGAGGGCGAGGCAGGGGTTTAGGTAAAACCCCATGATGGCAGGCCAAACCGCCTTACTTAGGGCTCCAATCTTTGTTATTGAAGTTACTCGGCGATTATAAGATTGCGCCCCTGCACCACCCGTCTCCCATACCTTCATCAACAACATCCCGATTCCCTCTTCCCACCCCCGGTCCCTGCACCTCACCAGCATTGACACGGCGTATGCCGCCCCGGAGGATTCTGGATCGGTCATTAGTTGCCAAATGTACTGCCTGCACGACTGGATACTGCGGGTTGGTGCAGATGGTGGTGATGTGTGTGGGGTGTGGGGTGTGGGGGGGGAATGGAGGGGTTGGGGGTTGAAATGGGGGGAGTGAGTGTGGGCGGGGTGGAAGGAGAGGGAAAGCATAAGAAATTTTGCATATCAAAGGAGGAGCTGGTTGCAGTGAAAAGGAAGCAGAATAAATGACCTGCCTGCATGCAATCGTCTACGATGATGCTAATGAAAAACGCGCAAAATACGGCAATTTTGGCGTCCGTCATCACCCTGCACCTGCACCTGCACCTAAATCTAAACCTATACATACATACCCACATAAAGTGTGTTTCCGTCTTCGTGGTTTTTAAGTGCAGTTTTGATGATGAGATGCGCTTGATGCCTTCAAGGAGGCATCACTCGTAAACAATACACACACATACACACATTTTCCCCCCTCCCCCCCCCCGGTCCCAATCCGTCCTCCCCGACGCGTGTGCTTTTACCCACATGGCTCCCCAGCTATCCTGCCGTACATCCCCGCCATTTTCTTCCTGCTCCAGGACCGCCTCTTGGCCGGGGGCCAACAGATTGCCGTACTTGTCTACATGGATCCAGTAACGCGTGTCAGGGGAGAGCAAACCTGCGAGTCGGTTTGGCAGTTGAGTTTCGGTTAGCCAGTAATCAACTGTCTGGGCGGGCAGTTGGGAGAGACATACATACATTGAGACATGGAGACACAGAGACAGAGAGACAGGGACAAGGAGAACAACATGGCACAAAATCGGATGCGCCATATGCGCCATATGTGTGTTTTCTTTGGGAGTGCGAAGGTGAATAGGAGACTGGAGCCCTAACCCCTCGCCTCTCCTTCCCATCTCACCCACTGCTTGCGCCCTGTTCTCCATTTCCTCACGAATTGAAACCTCCTTGCGACTGAAAGACATCACCTGGGGTAGGCCCGGCCAAGGAGGGTGGGTGTGTTTGTTGGGGGGGGGGAAAGAGGAAGGGAGGAGGGAGGGAAAAGTTAGGGAAGCAGAGAAAAGCGGACACATACACACCCTTTCTACGTGTCCACAATACGGCATCTCTACCCGCAAAATAGCATCAATAACATCAACATCAACAACAACAACAACAACATCAGCCCCGTCTCGTGCCACAGAGTCATTCTGACGTCAGAAGGAGGAGGGCGAACGCGACAACGGATGACGAGGAGGGTCTCAGGCCGCCACTGCAGTATGTGGCCGGGAGGCCCTTTATTTCCCTCCCTCGCCAACGACGGCAGCACCTGGACAATGACGACGACGACGATGACGTCGGCGCTACATATTTAATTTCTGCATCTGATACACACTCTCAAGCACAAAAATACACACACACGCGCACCGCTGCCCCATTACCCACCACCACACACCTGCGTGTCTGACGTAGCACCCCCACCAGCAGCAGCAGCAGCAGCAGCAGCCGCGGCGCCAATCTTTAACGGACTGGCCGCGCGCGAGTGCGACCGCGACGGCGGCCGGCGTGAGTGAGCACGTGACAGAGACCGTGATGTCGTCAGTTTAGCCGTCACGCCAGAGCCAGCGGTGGAAGGTGGACTGCCGCCGCCACCGCCACCGCCACCACTCACGGCACCAGCCGCCGAGCTCCTTCCTTCACCAGCTGGCGGAGGCGGAGGCGGCACCAGTACGACAGAGCGCTGCGGCGACCCTGGCGGTGGCGCTGCCGCCAGGGAGGACCGTGATGGCGAAGGGCCGTTCGTGAGCCGGCTGGGGGGGGCAGTGACAGCGGTAGCGGCTGCAGTGGCAGGAGGGTCAGCGCTGGACGGCCGGGACGCGGTTCTGCTAGCTGCTGGAGCTACCGGAAGGGGGGACCTGGACGGATCTGTGGTGGCGGCTGAGACCACATCGGAGGCGTCCTCTGGCTGTCTTACGGCATCCTCCAATTTGGGAGAGTCGACGGCGCCTGGGAACGCCACTGGCGCTGCTGCGTTGCAGTCAGTGCCGCTACCAGCACCGTAACCTGCTGGATGCGGTAAGGAAGGGGTCCAAAGGGCGCGGAAAGCGCGTGCGAAAGGTTGTGGAGGGGGGCATGAAGGGCGTTGGGTGGAAAGCACCGTGCGAGCTATGGCGCTGCTATGAGGTGGTGACGGGGCCACTTGTTTTGGGTTGGGGTGGAGGGGGTGATGGTGGCTTGGGCGCGGGAAAGCGGGAGTGGTGACGCACCTGACGTCACCCATCAATAACATACCTGGTGGTGGTGCCGCATCGATGAGCAAGGCATCCAGCGTCGGGTCCTGCCGAACGCTGCCGTTGGACTGCCGTGATGTGGATGGAGAGGCGGGACATGGCACCCGCAGGGTGTGAGACGAGTAGGCGATAGTACGTTCAATAAATTTGGTAAAATAGAGAATAGAATGTCTTACCGCGCCCGATGCGGACTGGTTGCGCTGCAGCACTGCTGGTCGAAAGGGTCCCCGGTCCGCCAGTGAGCCCTGACGGCTTATGCCATTCACCAAAGCAGGATTGTTATTACTCATTCTTATTTATGACGAAAATATGCTTTTAGGGCTGCTGGAGCCGTTCCCTATGAGTTACCGGTTGTCCATGCATGTGCATTGAGCAAGTGGAGGTAGGTTCATCGTTCATTTACATCGCAGAATGCCATGCCAGCATCCATTTGATTTATGATGCGTGCTGCCTACACATAAAAGACCTTGCGGGAGGTTTCCAAACGCTAGTCGTTTGACCCAGTAACGAAAATATATTAGGATTGTATCACTGTTTAGTAACCCAAATATCGCTTAATTGTACTGCTTCTCTATCAGCTTGTAACCTTCTTTGGGGAGCGTACGGCTAAGAACTACGCGACAGCTCGTCGGCAGGCTTCAAAGGGGTCCACTCGACGCTCAATTGTCCAAATTTTTCACAATAAATAGTTTTAGGCTCACGGAAACTTCATTTGCTATGGACGTTGATCCTTCAGCTAGAGCCTGAAAAGGCGGGCGGCGTACAAGCGAGTTGCGATGCCACGCGATAAGTCGCCCATGCACATAATCTTTGTCTATAACCTGAATACCTAACCAGATAAACCATGCTACCGTAACGTAGAAATTAGAATCCCGATCTCATACCTGGCAAGCGTTCCGGCGCAAATGCTCGGCGTCCGCTTTTGTCCGCTGCTGCTGTTGCTGCCGCACTCGTTCTTCTTATTGCCACCTCCACTGTCGCAGGGATGCAGACATCCATTGCTCCCAGGCAGCTGGAGTTCCACCTATTCAACGGTGGACTTGTAGCACTGTTTGCCGTTAGCTGCCGTTGCTGTCCTTCTGTTACGGGTGGTGTAGCGCCGTGTCAGCCGGGGGCTAAGTGGCCCGGCCAGTGTGTGAAAGCGGCTGATTTCTAAGTACACCGGCGCATGTATTTACCCGGCACTCGAAGCTGCTCCTGGACGGCCGTCCACGGGTAGCCAGCCGCCTGACCAAGACCGCACAAGCACAGGGCTCGTCCCAGGGATACCAAACCACTGCATCGACACCCCTGGCGGAAAAGTCATGGGCTCTCTTGGCGCATCCCACTCCCAACATATCGCCCAGCACATAATGGCAGACTCAAACTGTGATTCGTCGCTGGCTTGTTTTCATTCTGTGTTGTGGAAAATAAAAAATGGTTTGGTCCATTTGTATTCGTATAATCGGGTAAATGCCTCCAAATGACACAATAGAAACATGAATTGGGGTAGAGTGGGCATTCATTGCTTAAACGTCATCGCGTGATCCGTACTCCCTACTAACTTATTGTGGGGAAGGCCATTGCGTCTGCGACCACACTCCCGCGGTACCCAAACCCTTCAAAGACAACTCCGATCAGCCATTTGGCTGTTAGTGGGAGGGCGGGTGGGCCGCTCGCACGGCAATCGAGTAGAGAGTACGAAATAACCTAATGCAGTCCTCGTCAACAGAAAACGTAAGCCTCCAGCCTCACGCCGACTCTCTTACCTACCATTCATATTTACTACCTCGTTCCCAAGACTCCGCCGCGTTGCCTCTAGTTCGGCTCGTGCCACAGGTAACTTCGCTCGTCGCTACTTTGCCATTCACCTTCGCCTCCACCCAGCCTCTGCTTCTCCACAGAAGCGGCGACCTCCTTCGCCGTTGTTGCGCCTCGTCTATGCGACTCCTCCTCATCCGACTGTGTCTTCTGCCTACCCGGTGCGCGCCCCCTCTCTCTGCGCATCCATTTCTCCGGCCCTCTCTTACGGTTGCCTACCTTACTGCAGGACTCGCCCCTTGCCTGTCCGGTGCCGGGTAGGCTTTCCTTGCCTCCCCCGGCCCTACTTGGGGCGCCCCTCCTTGGCTCGTCAACTACCTTACTTCCGTCCGTTCCTGCCCCTCGGGGGCCCAACCCCTCCGCCCTTTCTGTGGGCCCGATGCCCGCTCTGGACTTGTCTCTCGCCCCCGGCCTCTCTGATGCTGCCCCCCCGGTAGGCTTGCCCCCGCGCCTCATCTTTCCGTCTCGCTTACCTCTCCTACCTTCTTCTGCCCTCCAGGCACTGCCAGAGCCTACTCTGCCCCAAATCTTGGCCGCACGCGTCCGCCCCACTTCCATACCCTCTGCCGTACTGGACCCACCTTCCAGCCATCAGCTTTATACCGTCGCCCTCGCGAAGGCCGCCACCGTCTGCGACAACTCGCTGGCCCGCGAAACCATTGCCCGTCAGGAAGCTGCCGGTCGGGACCTCTCTGCCTGGCTGGCCTCCCTGCCCCATGGCCGTACCCTGCTATCCTGCACCGATGACGACCTACTCGTCTACCTGGAGGCGCACTGGCTCCCCAACCGCCGTGTGGACGACCCGAGCCCCAACACCGTCAACAATCATCTGGGTCTACTCTCCGGGCTGTTTAACCGCTTGGGCCGTGGCAGCACTTACGACCGTGAAACCGGCATCGGCAACCCCTGCTGCTCCAGCGCCTTGTCCTCCTACAAGACTGGCTATAGTCGTCTCGCCGCCGACCGTGGCTATGAGGAGCAAGCCGCCGTACCACTCAGCCCTAGCGACTTCACCACCCTCATGGACCACCTCTGGTCCGGATTCCAGGCTTCCACCACCTCCCTGACCCGGCTGCTGCTACTACGCGACCTGTTGTGCTGCCAATTCATGTGGCACACCAGCTACCGCGGCCACGACACCGGCAAACTGCGGCTTCGTGACTTCCGTGACCCGCGTGGTGGGGGTCCCTTCCGTGGATTTCCCCTACCTCTGCCGGACCCGTTTGGTGCCTACCCCTCGCTTTCCTTACGGATCGAACAACTCGGGACCAAAACATCCAAGGGGCGTCGAGCCCCCCCCTTGGAACTGCGCCCCGACCCTTCTCCGCGACATTGCTTCATCCGCACCCTCGCCCTCTATTGGCAGCTGTGCCATGCCCCCGACGCCCCCCCAGGGTCTGCAATCTCCGACTACCTCTTCCGTCCCACTGACCGTGGTCACCAACGCTTCGTGGAGCGTCCATTTTCCAGCAGCACGTTAGCCATGCGAGTGGGCAAACACCTGGAGGAGGCTGGTGTCTACGTCGGGCAAACTCCTCATGGGTTTCGTCGTGGTACTATCCAGGCCACGCAGGCCGCTGGCGCATCCCGCGCGGAGCTCCATGCGTTCTCCCAGATACGCAGCACTCAAGTCCTGGAGCGTTATACCGACGCCTCTCGGCCCACTCGTGTCCCTCGCGGCTCCGGTCCCAAATCCTAGCCTCCGCCTCCTGCTGGTGCCGCCCCTCTTAGCCCTGGTGCTCACTTCGTGGCTCGTCCTCCTCCCCTCTCCCCACCACATCGACGGGCGGGTGGGCGGGGTTCTGACTTGCACTTGCTTGCACGGTTGGCTGGCGAACTTGCGTTGTCTGGATTTAGCGCTTTGTTCTCAGCTAATCTTTGTAACGAACTACAGTATCAGTCCCTGTCCTCTGGCCAGTTCTGGTCTGCGCCTTCCTGCGCCGCACTTGCCGTACTGCACTACAGGACGAGCACTTAATCAACATGCAAGGTTGGCCAGAGGACAGGGACTGATACTGTAGTTCGTTACAAAGATTAGCTGAGAACAAAGCGCTAAATCCAGACAACGCAAGTTCGCCAGCCAACCGTGCAAGCATGTGCAAGTCAGAACGTCGTTTGTTGGGGAATAGGGACGTCAAAAATAACAATATACAATACATATGGACCCAGTTTAATAAGGAAGGAAATCAGAGAACACAGCGTTACTGGCACATCGGGCGTCAGTAACAGCGAAGAGATGGCCGAGCGGGATGAAGTGCGCGGCGGAGTCGGAGAAGGTCCGGAGGAGAACGAAGTAATGGCTATGACGAAGGCGATAAGAATGGCACGCGACGGAAACACCCAGAAGGGGACGTGGTGATTATCACCGGACTGCGCTCCTTATCCCGCGTTGTCTGAAAGCAGGCGCAGCCAGCTGCAACTAGGCCTACCCGGTTGCGTGTAAGAGGGAAAGGGGTGTCCCGGAACCGGCCGCAAAGGCTTGGCAGCTACGCATATTTTGCTGGGGAATGGGGTGATCCGGCTAGGAGGGAACGGCGCCGCGGCGGAGAGGTCATTGCTTTGAGGTTGAGCTCAACGTGGTTTATTATCACCACGGGTTACTGCCAGGTGCCCAGCTGGAGCCCACCGAAGCGCCCGGACCGCCTTGCGCTCATCGGGGAGCTACGCCCCGCAAAGGGTAGCAACTAGACTCAGGAAGCCTGCGCAATAACGAGTGCCCACGGCCGGTAGGCTTTACCCGGGTGATGCTCTCAGGGAGAGAAACGCCCGCGTTGCGTTGTGCTGATCCGAAAGGCCAGCCCCAGGGGGTGCGCGGTGAAGCACCCAGGCTGAGTGGCCTTGGGCCGTAGGCTTAGATGCTTTTAGCTGGAAGGCCAGCACCAGGACTGGGTTGCCTTAGGCCAGTAGCATAGGAAGAGTTTATCCGGAAGGCCAGCCCCAGCGGGTATGCTCTCGCGCGGCGAAGCACCCAGGCTGAGTTGCCTTGGGCCGGTAGACTGGGTCGCGTTTATCCGGAAGGCCAGCCCCAGCGGGTATGCTCTCGCGCGGCGAAGCACCCAGGCTGAGTTGCCTTGGGCCGGTAGACTGGGTCGCGTTTATCCGGAAGGCCAGCCCCAGCGGGTATGCTCTCGCGCGGCGAAGCACCCAGGCTGAGTTGCCTTGGGCCGGTAGACTGGGTCGCGTTTGTCCGGAAGGCCAGCCCCAGCGGGTATGCTCTCGCGCGGCGAAGCACCCAGGCTGAGTTGCCTTAGGCCGGTAGACTGGGTCGCGTTTATCCGGAAGGCCAGCCCAAGCGGGTATGCTCTCGCGCGGCGAAGCACCCAGGCTGAGTTGCCTTAGGCCGGTAGACTGGGTCGCGTTTATCCGGAAGGCCAGCCCAAGCGGGTACGCTCTCGCGCGGCGAAGCACCCAGGCTGAGTTGCCTTAGACTGGGTCGCGTTTATCCGAAAGGCCAGCCCCAGGGGGTATGCTCTCGCGCGGCGAAGCACCCAGGCTGAGTTGCCTTAGGCCGGTAGACTGGGTCGCGTTTATCCGGAAGGCCAGCCCCAGCGGGTATGGTCTCGCACGGCGAAGCACCCGGGCTGAGTTGCTTTGGGTTGGTAGGTTGCGTTGCGTTTATCCGCAAGGCCAGCCCAGCAGGTTTTGCTCTCGGACAGCGAAGCACCCAGGCGGAGCTGCCTTGGGCCGGTAGGTTGCGTTGCGTTTATCCGCAAGGCCAGCACCCGCAAGGTTTTGCTCTCGGACAGCGAAGCACCCAGGCTGAACTACCTTGGGCCGGTAGTTTGCGTTGTGTTTTATCCACAAGGCCCGCGCCAGCAGGTTTTTGCTCTCGGACAGCGAAGCACCCAGGCGGAGCTGCCTTGGGCCGGTAGTTTGTGTTGCGTTTATCCGCAAGACCAGCCCCAGGGGGTATGCTCTCGCGCAGCGAAGCACCCAGGCTGAGTTGCTTTGGGTTGGTAGGTTGCCTTGCGTTTTATCCACAAGGCCAGCACCAGCGGGTTTTGCTCTCAGACAGCGAAGCACCCAGGCGGAGCTGCCTTGAGCCGGTAGTTTGCGTTGTGTTTTATCCATAAGGCCAGCACCAGCAGGTTTTGCTCTCGGACAGCGAAGCACCGAGGCGGAGCTGCTTGGGCCGGTAGGTTGCGTTGTGTTTTATCCACAAGGCCAGCACCAGCGGGTTTTGCTCTCGGACAGCGAAGCACCCAGGCGGAGCTGCCTTGGGCCGGTAGTTTGCGTTGTGTTTTATCCACAAGGCCAGCACCAGCGGGTTTTGCTCTCGGACAGCGAAGCACCCAGGCGGAGCTGCCTTGGGCCGGTAGTTTGCGTTGCGTTTTATCCATATCCACAAGGCCCGCACCAGCAGGTTTTGCTCTCGGACAGCGAAGCACCCAGGCGGACCTGCCTTGGGCCGGTAGTTTGCGTTGTGTTTTATCCATATCCACAAGGCCCGCACCAGCAGGTTCTGCTCTTGTGCAGTGAAGCACCCAGGCGGAGCGGCCTTGGTCCGGTAGGTTGCGTTGGGTTTATCCACAAGGCTAGCACCAGCGGGTTTGCGCTCGGGCAGCGAGACACCCAGGCGGAGCTGCCTTGAGTCGATAGGTTGCGTCGTGTTTATCCGGTAGGCCAGCCCCGGGGGGTGTGCTCTCGCGCGGCGAAGCACCCAGGCTGAGTTGCCTTGGGCCAGGAGGATGGGTCGCATGTATCCGGAAGGCCAACCCCAGGGGTTATGCTCTCGCGCGGTGAAGTTCCCAGGCTGAGTTGCTTTGGGCTGGTAGGTTGTGTTGTGTCCGCCCGGAGGACCAACCCCAGCGGGATTGTTCTCGTGTAGCGGAGCACCCAGACGGAGTGCATGGGGCCAGAAGTGGACGAGGAGGACTTGGAGCCAGAAAGGGGAGATAACTCGGACAGCAGCAATGGATGAGGTGCAGTTGTGGAGGCACGTCGGTGAGGGCGGAATCGGGGCAACGGGTACCAAGGGTCGGAAGGTCGTCCTGACAGCCCAAGCCAGGGCTAAGAGGACCAGGTGGAAGAGGAGAAGCGAATGGTGGCGCGGTTTCCTGAGTCACAGATTGGAAGGCATGGAAGCCACCCCTGGGGTGCGGAAGCCAGGGAAGGACGGGAGGATAAACGGCAGCAGTCCGACGCTTGGCTGAGGATTAGGCCCGGGAGACGCAGCTAGCCAACGCGAGAGCGGGAGCCCTGTATCCGGCAGCAGCCACTGGCCTGAAAGAGCAGCCTCAGGCGAACCGTGGCGTCCGGGAGAAGGGCATCCAAGAGGCCATGGCCGCCGTAAGGAAACAACATGGCAGCCCCGGAGGCGCTGCATTACGAGAACGTTGGCCGCGTCCCAACATCCCAGCTGTGGGAGGCCCCGGAAGTCCAGGTTAGAGTAATGGCGCAAAGCCACCACGCAATGCGGGTGGTAAACCCGCAGTCGTGTTAGGCTAGAGCGGGAGGAAGAGGTGCTCGAGGACGCATTGGCTAAGGTGGGCCCGGGGATGGCCAAGGAATTGCGTGAGTGCTGCAGTGATTCTGCAGGGCCGCAACACCAGCGCGTTGGGGTGTACATCGGGCAAAGCCAAACTCGCTTCTCAAAGGGCACTTCACGGGGCAAATTGCTGGATACCTGGTGCCGTGGAGCTGGGTGCCGTGGAGCTGGAGACGAGTGTGTTCAAGCTACAGCATCAGGCCCGCGAATGCCGGGTGTTCGGGTTAGAGGCGGCCCTCCAGGCTGTGGATGTCAGCCTCCGATGTTCAAGGAGTTGCGGGAGTGAACCTGGCCGGCCGTGGTACTGTTCACGCGCACGGCCGTGAAGTTACCAGAGGCGCATGGCAGCTGGCTCACAGCCTACTAAGGAATTTAGGAGGAGGTTGACTTTGAGCGCAGGATGAGTGTGGGCAGCAGAACGGCATGGGAAGGGCGGCAATCGGGGGTTCCCGGCTTCCACGACCAGAGGAGCGCAAGTCGTAGCCCGGTGGGTGTGGGCTACCAGGGCCTAGTAAACCCGGGAACGCCTCACGGTGAGGGGCCGCGATGGACCGCGGCTGAGCCCGCCTGCCAGCGTAGTGGTGGCTCTAAACCAGGAGCTGGGTCGGCGGGGATACCAGGAATTGGGAGAAGAGCAGATTACGGAGAGCGTGTACAGGGGCCATGTGAATGGCACTGACTTGTGTACTAGCTACGCGGGGAAGGGGCCCTGTGTTAAGGTGCAGGTTGGGCAGCGCTGCCGGTATAAACACCCAGCAACGGAGGCAGTACGGGTGGCCCAACGGGCGGACGCCCTGGTTAGCCACAACGAGGACCCAAGCCCAGAAGCCCAGGCTTACAGTGTTAACTGCGATCAAGCGAGGGATAGAAGGGAGAAGGAGCCGGAGGATCTAGCACTGGCTACCACACGGACACCCGGGAGGAGGAGGGAGCTGATCTGGACGAACGGCTGTCGTGAAACGATGACCCTTGTGAAGACAGCAAGTGGGTGAGTGAGGAGCAGAAAGGGGAGAACCCGGCGTCGCAGGACGAACACCAGCAAGGGGAGCGGGGCACCCAAGGAAGCGCGCAGCGAGGCATACAGCTGCTACAGGAGGCCGGACAGAGGCTACAGCCTCTAGGGCGACATGACGCAGTAGATCAGCAGAATGAGAAAGAGTTGTAGAAGAGATCGTCTTTTGCTTCCGGACCCGAGGACTACCAGCCAGGAAAGCTACTTACACATGCAGCAGTGTGGTGAGAGGTCTTCCAGGCAGCCGGACAGAGACGTTGGCTAGGCCACCTGGAGGGAGGGCTCCAGCTGGAGTGGGTGTCGTGCGAACACCCAGGACAACAAATAGTGCCTGAGCGGGACCGCAAGCTAGCTATTGTGCAGGAGTTGCTGCAGGTCGCGAGGCTGGACTGCAACCCGGAAATAATAATGGCAGGTCACCGGCCGCATGCAGTGCAGTTTCCCACAGCGGCGTCGTTACAGCCGAGTTAAGCACAGCTCTCTGCGGTGGGATACTGGAATGCCCAGCTAATGCACTACACCCACGCTTATCAACGGCCTGCAAGTGGTGGGAAAGGAGGGCAAGCTGCGCCTCTGCATCCTTCTGAGGTACTTTAATTGTTTTCTGAAATACCGGCCTGTGCAGCAAGAACGCCTAGCAGATGTCACAAGGGCCAAGGGGAGGAGGGGCTGGTGAGCGAGAGGACCCAGGGTACCACCTGGGAAGTATGTGTGGGGGGGGAGAGACCGCTCCGCGGTGTGTGTTGGGGCTGATCGGAGTTGTCTTTGAAGGGTTTGGGTACCGCGGGAGTGTGGTCGCAGACGCAATGGCCTTCCCCACAATAAGTTAGTAGGGAGTACGGATCACGCGATGACGTTTAAGCAATGGACTGTACGCGGAACAATATGGACTTTTAACAATTTATGTGGGGAATCCAATGATAGAACCTTTTTTTGTCACATAAGCAACTCACAAACAGGTTCATTAGGGGAAGGACATAAGGTTAAATGCAGGTCAACTGCTTGTCAAGAGCAAACTTGCACAGTTGATGCAGCGGGAGCCCAATAGACTTGTACTTAAAGAATGTAATAATGACAGTATCAGCTTAATTGGAGACGCGCTATGGAGCTGAAAAAGACCACTGAGAGATAAGCTGTCAGGAGCTAGGGACTCCACAGGAAGAACCAGGCAAACAAGATTTCAGATTTCGCGTCGGCCGCAAGCTCTATAACGTTGTGTCCAAGAGGGTAGCAGAACCAGATGTGGATAGCTCGACCTGAAAAGGAACGGCTGAGGCGACCGTTAGTACGGCCTCGCGCAGCTTTCCATGGCTTCGTGCATGGCGGCGATCGGTTTGTATTGGCGTTACCAACTATCATAGTGTACAGGCTTACCTCCTGCTTATTTCGCGAAAGTAAGTAAGCCTGACGCAGACTCCTGCTAGTTGAAATGGCAATGTTTCCTCCGCAAGGCCTATCATCAGCATGAGACTAACTAAAAAATGTAGAATCAATTGATGGCGCGAGGCTTATCGGTGCGCCGGAGGCTGGAGCCGCACTTTGACCATTAAATCGGACGGCGCCGCAAAGCATGTTGCATCAAGAGGTGCGCGGGTCATCACACACGAACATATGAGAACTGCGTATCTCCGTTACGTTCGGCCTCGTGACTTTCCCTTCCACACCGCCTGGATGCATCCCCTACACCCCCCCCACAGACCTTCAAATTCCCACAGCATGCCAGTACTCCTCAGCGCTCAACGACTTGGTGGATTCTTACATCCATAGTCCCGTCCTACAGTCGGCCCTCTGGCGCCGCCGCTGCCGCGTCCTCGGCCCTCCACACCTTACCCAGGCAGCTACCTCGCAGCGCAGCGCTTCCTCCCGCTGCACCCGTCAACAGCCCATCCAGTCCGGGGGCGCTGCGGCCACCACTGCTGCCGGCAGCATGGCCTTCGCGCACCGTGCCAACGCCGACGTGGTACGTCCAGTCAGAAGGGTTGCGGCGCCAGCGGCGTCGCCTCAACGTCGCGCAAGCGGTGTACGAACCGGATTCAGGTTCCGGTTGGGACCCACGACTACGGCACCAGCGGCAACGTCGGCGGCAGGGCCCTCAGCCCAAGCACCAGGCTGACGAGCTTTGCAACGACGACGACGGCGACATTGACGCCCCAGCCCCATTCACCCCGCAGCAAGAGCGGCATCACTTCCACCACCGCCGGCCCTCTCCCCATTCAGCCCAGCCTCAGCGCAGGACGGCGTCAGGCTGGGCTGCAGGCAGGACCCGTGGCTCGCGGTTGGCGCATGAGCCGGCGTCTCACTCGGCGCCGCCAGGACCCTACCCCGTCGCAGCGGCAGCAGCAAGAGCAGGGCGAGTGGTGGATATGGATGTGGACGTGGATGTAGATGTGGATGTGGAGGCGCTCCGACAGCTCCTGGCCTTTTGCGAGCGGGTTCGGGCTGGGGGTCCCGGGCCTTACGAAGGGGAGGTCGTGGTAGCGTTGACAAAAGGGGAAAGGAGCGCAGGGGACGACGGCGCTGGACTGACCTGGCCACATCCGACACCAGTCGCCAGCCGCAAGTCCTGCATTTCCTTCCAACCTTCCAACGTCTGCAGCGACCCAGATCAGTCGCAGTCGGCAGTAGCGCCGTCGGAGTCAGCTTCCGGCAGTGCGCAGGCCGCAGCGACCGTCAGCCACGTCGCCCCCGTCCCACCAGCCGCCGTGCATCGTGAGTTGGAACGGCTGCTCCGAGCTGCCGCAGATGCCCCACCGCGCCACCGCGATGCGGCAGCAACACTGGCGAGACAGCGACAGAGCTCCGGAAGCCCTGAATGTGGTTTCGGCGCGGAACCCAGATCAGATCTTACCGTTGATACCGCAGACGCCGCCGCCGCCACTAGCGGCGCGGCGGATCCACACCCGCTGTTGACGGAAGCCCAGTGGGCGCTCGTGCTGGGTGTTGCCGCTGATGCAGGCTGGCGTCCTACTCACATTGCAGCAGCTGCTTTGCTGCGCGCTCTGTCCGCCGACTTGGAGGGGGTATCCGTCCTGACACGGCCGGCTAGGGACAACAACTTTGGCGAGGGCGGAGGCGCCACTGCCAGCGGCCCAGAGGAACCTTCTTTCCAGCTGACGCTGCACCTGGGTCGGCTGTTATTGTGTCAAAAGAAATCGGATCAGCGGATGCAGGTTGAAGCGGGCGCCGGCGGCAGTGGGGAGCCACCGATGCGCCGCTATGTCGGGTCGTCGTCGGCGATGGAGTCGGCGGCGGCCTGCTCGCCGCTGCGTTCGCTCGGCGGGGATGCGCTATTTGAGCGACTGTTGCTCCGAAACCTGCCCGTGGCGGCCGCCACGGCGGCGGCGTCATGCGGCAGCGGTGGCGGCGCCGCCGCAGCGCCGCAACAGCAGCCTCCTTCGTCAGCGGTGGCGTTACTGGCATGGGTGTTGGGCTCCAGGGAACGTGGGTTGCGAGAAGTGGGGGAGAAGTCCAGATCTGGATCCAGTCCACGCGGAACGGAATCCATGCCGCTGGAGACTCTTTCCGACCAGCCCGATCTGCTGCGCCCCGCGGCGTGGTGTGAGCTGGCAGCAGCCCTGGCGCAGGCGCTGGCTCCCCACCACCACCACCTCCAACAACAACAACAACAACAACAACAACAGCCATTTGTTCCCCTTGACGACCCCGACAGCAGTGCTAACAGCTATTTTCATTATTCCATCACAGGCCATGGAGGCACTCGCAGCTGTAGCAGTAGCGGTAACAGTAGCAGTAGCAGCTGGAGTCAAGGCGGTGGAGTCGGCGCTTCGCCGCCGCGCTCGGTGTCCGTGGTCGAAACAACCACAGCCACAACAGCAGCTGCAGCAGCAGGGGTGGCGGCTGGTCCTGGTATTGTTCCCGGTACCCCCTGGCTGCGTGCTTTTATGGAGGGTACTGCTACTGCTACCGCCGCGGGGCGGGGTGGGACCGCCGCCGCCGCCGCCACTGATGCTACTGGCCACGGGATGCGGCTGTTGCCGTCCCTGGAGCAACTGTCCCGCGCTTTGTGGGCCTTACGGGTGCTGTACCCAGGCGGCGAGTGGTGGCACGCGTCGTCATCGTCCGCCGCCTCTTCCTCCTCACAATCCACCTTGCCGCCGTCGTTAATATCCGGTCCCGCCGCCATCGCCGCCGACGCTGCCGCCGACACCATCACCTGTACGACTCCTGTGGAGCCATCGAAGCTGCTGGAAACGCGGGAGACTGCTGAGCAGCACCAGCAGCAGCACCACCAGCAGCAGCAACCTGGGAGTGTGCGGTGGCAGCAGGACGGGGAGGGGTGGTGGCTGCGGTGGTGGTGGCGTGCGACGGCACAGGCGGCAGCGGCGCAGGCTGAGGGCGGCGGCGTAACGCGGGCTCCGCCGGATTCCGCCCTGGTGCTGCTGATGGAGGTGAGGACCCCGGGTGAAGGTGGCTCGGCCTTTCTTTCTTTCCAAACCTGTTAACCTTCTTCGCAGCACGTTTAGGCTTTTCTGCCCCTTCCGCACCGCACCGCACCGCTCCGCTTCCTATCCCACATTTGGGCGATGCAGTTGTTGCAGGGATTTTCGCCGCTGCTACAGCCGCCTGCCTTTTGGCGCAGCGCGGTGGCGGCGGCGGTGGAGCGACGGCTGCTGACGGCGGCGGCGGAAGCTGCTGACGGCGGCAGCGCAATAGCATTAGCGCCGGCGGAGGAGGCAGTCGACAGAAAGGCCCGCGCAGCGCTGGAAGACGCCGCGGGCGCTTCGCCGCCGCGACAGGAACCGTACGGTGTCCGCGATCGGATGCAGAAGCTCCGAAACCTGGTCGCGTTGCTCCATGGCTACACCGCGCTTGGCCTGCACAGGGGCAGGCCCGTCCGTAGCCTCGCGCCTGCCGTACTACGGGTACGTCTCCCCTACCGTACACGTCCCTTTCCCTGCCATTGAAATGGGGGCCCCGGCAAGGATTTCCCCTCGCCCGTCCGACCTGTACGTTGCCGCCCGGTGCCTTAAAAAGGGGTTCTTCTCCTTAAAAACCCCTAAAGGGGAAAGATGGGAATCATATGCCGCCATGCTGTGCCGTTATGCGTCTGGGGCAGAGAGGTGCAGTTGGGCGAATTCCGGTGCTGTCGCATGTGTGCAAGAGAATACCTGCCGTACCTGCATTCCATAAACAGGTCACTACTTTCCTAATCAGGATCTCTATAAACGTATCATAATGCGGCTCCTTCCCTCCCAAATTCACATTTGGTTGGGCATCCGCGCATGGAGCTCGCATGTGCCTGGTTAAGCATTGCAGATCAAGATATGATGTTTTTTTTTGCTGTGTGCGATCGCTCCCGGGGAACGCAGTACGCCCTGCGGCCGTACGACGACGACGGCAGCGGCACTGACGATGAAAGCGACGACGGCGGCGGCAGCGGTAGCGGCGGCGGCGGCCGTCTTCTTCTGGCGGCCGCGCTGCCTGATGAGGACCTGGCGGCGCTGCTGAGGTGGCACCAGGTGTACGGCAGCCCGCTGGCGTCGACAGAGGATGTAGTACAGGTAAAGGGTTCGGTAACGGGCAGGGAGGGGAACGAGCCCCCGGTTACACAGCTCAGGGTGGATGGGGCCTGAGAATGGGTTTTTGTGTGTCAACATATTTCCGAAGTGTCGGGGGGGAAAGGGGGAAAAGACGAACCACGTGAACGAGTGAAGCTGATACTGCCAAGATACTGATGCGCCAGAAGTAAAAAGAAGGCATAACTAACCAGTCGGCGCTTGTGAAGAAGAAGAAGTCCAGTCGCGATGATGTTAGTAGTAGTAGTAGTCCTGACGATAGCGGAAAACTACCTGCCTAGCCCGCCAAGACAAAGAAAATAAATTGCGGAAAGACCGGATCGACCCTTGTTTCGGCGTCCGTGTTTTTCTCATCCGTGCGCCGTGGCTCTCCCGCCAACGCACCGGCGGTCTGCAGTGCGCGGTGGTGACAATACACGGATCTCCAAGCGAGGGAGAGGCTTATTGGGGGGAAGCCTGCTGCCTGCCCCCCGCAGGTGCTGTTGGACCGGCCGGGGACCTCCCCCCGCTTTGTCGATCGTCCAGACTGTCCCCGAGGCCCCGTGCCTCGCCTGCTGCCGCCGCCGCTCCTTGCGGACGTGCTTGCCGGCCTCTCCACCTCCACACGCCCCCTGCCGAGCCCTCTAGCCGCGCGCCTGGCCGCCTGGGTAACTGCACATTTGGACCACTACCACCAGCACCACCAGCACCACCAGCACCGACAACAACCACAACAATCTCTAGGCAGGAGCAGCGGCAGGAGTTCTGGTAGCAGTGACGGAGGCGGCAGCAGTGATGGAAGTGTCGATCTGAGCGGCAGTGGCAGCTGCAGTGATGGCAGGACCAGCGACGGCGGATGTGCGGGGAGGGGCGGTATGGGGGGGGGAGACGGGCACTGTGTTGGTGTAGGGACAGGAGAGGAACCTCTAGTTGCTGCGTCGTTTGGCCCTGCTACTGATCATGGTATTAGTAAGGGAGCTAATGATGCAGGGGAGGGTTGGCGGGGCGTTGGAGGGGATGAGGCGGCGGCGGCAGCTGCGGCGGCGCTATCTGTTTCCGGTGGTACCGCCGCCGCCGCCGCCATCGCCACCGCAGCAGCAACCGCTCCACGCGCCGCTGTCGTACCCCACACGGGTCCCCAGGACCAGTTCCCAGGCTACCACAATAACGCGGAGGAAGGAACTCAAGTGCAGCAACAGCAGCAGCAGCAACAGCAGCAGCAGCAGGAGCTGAGACCTGGCCCGGTGGTGCTGATGCAGCGGCCACGGGGACGGCAGTTACAGGAGCAACAGCAGCAGCAGCTACAGGGTACCCAGCGGTACGGCAGCGCCGCGCCAGCGGACACACTACCAGCACCTGAATCTGCGGTGCATTCCTCCAAGCCCCAGTCCCCCAAGCCCCAGTCCCAGCCTCTCCCCGTAGCATTATATCCAGGGGGGTCCCGGTCACTGTCTGAATCGGAGGGGGATGTTGCTAGTGCTGCTGCTGCTGCTGATGCGGCAGACTCGCAACAGCCGAGCCGTCAGAGGAACCAGCAGCAGCAGCCGCAGCTGTTGTCGCTGCAGGTGCTGTTGGAGCTTTTTGTGTGTGCGGCCAGGCTGGCAGCTCGGCACTCGAGACGGCGCCAGGGGGCAGGCGAGGACAACGACGGGGGCGGTAGCGGCGGCCACGCAGCAGCAACAGCAATGGAAGCAGCAACTGAGCAGCGTCCTGTGTTGTTGGGGGTCGGGGGTTTGGAAAGTACGGCCGCAGCAGCGTTGGAGGACGGGGAGGAGGCGGGCGCAGCTGGATCTGGTTTCGGAGCTTCGGAAGCTGTTAATCCGTTTGAGGTGCGTTTCCTGGTTAGTTGGTTTGTTGTTTGGTTGGTCAGTCGCGTATTGTTTTTTGAGGGAAGGATGCGACGTCATGCTTCTCTTCAGCTGCTCGTGTGGTGCATGTGTGTCTGTCTGTATGTATGTATGTCTCGGGTTCATCTGCAATTCCAAGTTGGACACGGAATTTCCAACCCTCCTCCTCGCCCTCCTCCTCCCCCTCTTCCGGTCGTTACTTTCCATAGTCATCGCTTCCCATGAAAATGTAAATCCACAACGCCACGTCAGCAGCCTTCTCCCCCCCCTCCCCCCTTCCCCACCCCTCCTGTGGTTCGTCTTTCCCCCCCTCCTGTGCTCTCCGCCTCCGTCGTGGCGACACCCCGTTTACTCCCGCTCCCTCCCCCTTCTCCCCACACATACATCCAAACAAACAAACTGTGCGGTTGGTGTCCAGGTGGCATTAATCTCCTTCCTGCCGTACATTCGTGACCGGCTGCTGGTGCCTGGGGGCTGCCCCGCGTCAGAGTTGCAAAAGGTAAAACCCTGAGCCAACTCCCCCCCCCCCCACTCCCACCCAACAACACACACGCACATACGCCCCCCTCCCCCAGGTCACAGTCGTCACAGTCGCCACGGACGCCTTTCGGTCAGTTTTTACGTTTGCTACTCTCTTGCCCTGGCAGCAGCTTCAATCGTGTGTGGTTCGTCTTTCCCCCTCCCCCCCCCCACACACTTCTACTTTCATACTGACAAACGTTTTCTTCTGCCGGTCACCCTCCTTGCGGTCGTATCGCATGCGCTACGATACCCGCACGACCCTTTGCGTTGCCCTTCGCTTTAGGATAGGGTCTTAGTCTTCTGGGGTCCATCAAGTCAGTCGTTTCAATTCCCTCCCTAGCTACTATTATCTCTAGTCGCCCAGGTAAGCTGCGTCGACAGTATCTTAAAGAAGAAAGGCTTTTATTTTGCACGTCGCTGGTGACTACTTGGAGCTCACAGCTCGGTATGAAAAGTTTTTTATTCTCGTGCACCCGGCGTTTCGGCTTGTCCTCATCCGTTCTCACATCATCAGACATCGGCAAACGCTTCGGGAGTTTCGGGTCGCACCGAAAAAACTCCCGAAAACAGAAACAGAGCTCCCGAAGCCGGCCGGCTTGCAGAAAGAGGATCATACGCCGTATACGAAAGGTGTTATGCGGCCCGATTATTGCAAACAAAATGCATTTTCATCCGCGACCTTGTAACAGACATTGTACTGGAAGACAGAATTAGAGACCCGTTCCCGAAACCAGAAATACCCCGTTTACCGATGTCTGCTCACATCGCGGCTCAGGCCTTCGCCATCCCCCAACCCCCAACCACTAACCCCCAACCACCACCCTGACCTGATCTGCAGGCCACTCGGCAACTGATTGCCGCACGCAAACTGTACCCACCCAACCCCTCCGCGCCCTCGTCCATTTCTACCGCCACTCCCACCTCCGCCGCTCCCACCTCCACCACTGCCTCCTCCTCCTCCTCCTCCAGCACCTACATAAGCCCCACCGCTGCCGCCTGGCGGGTTTTAGAGGCGGCCTGGGAGCCCCTCCTGGAGTCCTCTTGCTGCTCCGGTTCGGTGAACCCCCCCGGTTTGGTGACCGCCGCCGGGTCGGTGCTACAGCTGCTTGTGGATGTGAGCTTCTGCTCCCCGAGAGACATGTCTACGGCTTTCCTGGTGGGGGAAGGGGGGGGAAGCAGCGTGAGGAAGGGGGAGGCGAGCGAGGGGGGAGGGTAGGGGGAATGAGTCAATGAGAAGTCTGGGAGGATTGGGGGTCAGGCAAGGGAGGTGTGTGTCGGTGTGTAATAACCCCCCTAAGAGCCTATAGTGCCGATCTCATGCTGATCCATTCCACCCATCTCATTATACCCACCTTCTTTCCCCGGAGGTACCTACTCCCCCCACCCCCCGCCGTACGGCGTACGGCGATACCCTAGAAGTACCCTTTTTACACCCGGCCCCACCCCGCCCCCCTCCC